AGAACTGAAGAATTAAAATTTGGAACGTACACTTTTATCCAAGATAGAGTGTCATAAAATTGCAACGTGCATGGGTTTTAAATGTTTTACCATTGGACTTTATTTATTTTTAAAAAAGTTGAAAATATGAAGAATGATAAGGCTTGTTCGGTGTTAGTAGAAACAAGAGAGAAATTGTAGAAATATATAATGATATTTTGCAGTGGTGAATGTCGGGAAAAAAAAAAATTTTTTTCTCATTGCCTAGCTCAATAGAGGTTTTGTGATCGGTGTCAATAGCACTTTAAAATTGGATGAGTTGGCTCAGATTTGAATTGATTTTCATCGGATCAAGTCAAAGTCATTTTAAGTCGAAAAAAATCATTTCGGATCGAAAACAATTCATGTTGTTTCGGGTAAGAATAGTTTCAAATTTGTGTTATTTTCAACCTCATGAAAAAAAATAGCATTTTACAATGAAAAACTTATTTTCAACTATCAGTACTTGTTTAGCTTGAAATAAAATAAAAGTTATGAAAATAAATAAAAAAATTATTTTTGATAAAAATAAATAACGTAAAAGGATTTATAACTATATTTTAATATGATTTTTTTTTTCATACCGTCGACTTCAAAAGTATGACATAACATTTAATTTATTATTTCTATTATAGTGCTTGTTTAGCACATTTTATAAATTAATGCTAGTTTTAGAAAAATAATTAATATTAAGTATTAAATCTTGAAAATTATATAAAAGCTGAAATTGTAAATAAAAATAAAAATTCTAGAAAAGGCAAGAAATGAAACAAGAGCTCACAATGTATAAGTTTAAAACCAACTTTTTTAGGCATCAAAGAAAATAAATTGGAACAGGTTTCCAGGATTGACATAAAATTTGGACAACACAAATGAATCCAACCAATAGAACTTTAGAAATTTTCTAAGCAAGCTACTAGTATCCTTTAGACTTCTGATTTTTTTTTTCTTGGTAGGCCACTGCCAGCAATCGTTGCCTTTGTTACTTACTGATATACTACAATCTATACCAGAAATCATTCACTAGATATTCAAAATTAAGCTCAAAATAACATTAAAAAGAAATAATTACTCAAATATTAAAATTACATTAAAAAAGATTAATTAAGGCAACATAAGATGCACATCCTATATCAAGAACCTTTAGAAGTAGAAAAATATTGCACCATTTGTCATTGTATCAATCTTTCATTTTTTGCATCCTAGATTGAAAAGGTCGGTTACCTAAAGGACATCTCGCTATTTCTCAAATTATCATATGAAAAAAACTATAAGACGTAAAATTCCCAGATAATCTGCGTGACTATCACATCTGCAAAAGAGTACTCCCTGAACATTAGAATGGTCAGCTCCATGAGTTTATATTATGCAGCCTAGGGCTAAATGACCGAGCTGCCTAGGGTTCAGTACTGCAACACATAAAGGACTCAGCATAGAGCCCTGCCTATTACAATTTTCCCCTTGTTGATATTACAATTTGCATCCTACAATTTCTTGATCACAGAAGCTGGATGGAAAGAAAAGCAACGATGTATACAGATAGCACAGAGATAGAATAAATCAAGTCAGTTTCAATGTTTTCTCTAGTCAGCAAGCACCCTATGTGAACAACATTGACAGGAAATGAAAAAGTGTAAATCAAGGTTTGTCTGCTTGGATTGGTATAGGTAACAAGTATTTGGAATACAAAAGGATTAATATTTTTTTCAAGAAATTATGCAGTAACACCTTTCATGTATTTATCTCATGTTCCATCGTATGGTAAATGTGGTTTCTCTCCTACCAGAAAACAGATGCAAACCCTAAAACAGACACATCACATATCTTTATTCATCATGTTGCGATCTTCCTCATTCACCAAACATGTACAAATTGAACACAAAAATACTTAATTTCTTGTGTTCCAAAGAATTGGACAAAATATTTCCTAGGGTCAGGTTCTTGCTCCCAATCTTCAGGCCGGCTAATCTGAAATTCATAGCCTATAGAATCTACCTCAAAAACCAACGGTAAACCAAAATCACAACAAACCAACCGAGTTCAAAGTAACAAAACAATAAAAACAAAAAAATAAATTGAAAATCCCTCACTAAATTTCTGATGACACTTTCTAGGATCAAATCAATCTAGCATGCAACCAAAAAAAAAAAATACACACATTTGTCCGAGTTTTTTTCAGTCCAAAAAAAAAGAACTTGCATAGTTGCATTAAGTAACCCAATTGCTAAACAGGCAAAGTACCAAACCTGAAACACTTAAAACACAATCAGCTAACATAAGCATGGCAGAACTTTGAACTCCAAAAATAGGCCTTTCACAAAATAAAACAAAATTTACTAAAGGAAACAAATTGAGCATAAAAGCAACAAATAAAATACAAAGTAAGACAATATAAGCATAAAATAAACTTACCATCAACATGCAAAACTTCTAAAAAAAATCCCAAACTCATCATGGATTTATTCAAATACAAATAAGCATATAAGAAATTAAGAATATAATCATCAAAATATAAAATACCCATAACTCAGGATAAAAAAAAGGTAACAATAATAACAAAATAAAAGGGAAGAGAAAAAGGAAGAGACCTTGGCAGGCCAAGCAGGGAAACCCTTGACTTTGGCAAGAACAAGATCACCTAAACTTAAATTCTTAACTTTTGATTTGTTCCCTCCCCTTTTACGAGTCCCAGCCATCAAGATTAAAACCCTAACAAATCCTCGACGCCCTCATTTTCGATCGTACTAGTTATTCCTTTTTACGTAATCAAATCCAAATTCAAAGATAATTCCAGAATCCAATCGAAAAAGACAAACCAAACCGGAAGTTTAGTGCCACAGAATCGCCGGCGGCTACAACGCGCCCTGTGGAGTTCCGGCGAGAGAAAGTGGCTAGGGCATCTAGAGAGATAGTGAGAGATATTGGAAAATAAGTGAAGAAAAGTCTTTTTTTTTTGTTCAAAGTAGAGAAGAAAAAATGAAAATCGAGACGTTTGAGGAGATGAGCGAAAGAAAGAGGAGATTTTTTTTTGGGGGTCAAATTTTGGTTGAGGGATGCGTTTATTTGGTGCTCGAGACTGAGCTGTAAGAAAACGGTGGGTGCGGGGGCGGAGGGGAGAAGTTTTGCCGTTTGCGTTTTGCTGTTGTCGGCGTTTTTAATTTAAATATTAAAAGTAAATATTCGAATTTAAAATTTTTTTTATATAATTTTAAATTATATATTTATTAATTAATCTATATTTATTTTTAATTTTGTGAATTTTAAATAATGATACATGATTAACAAAAAAAATCATATTAATTAATAAAATTATAAATTTAAATATTATATTAAAATATTTTAAAATTTAAATATTACATAGAACATTTTAATCCTACTCTTTTATTGTCACATTATTTTTGTTAAAAATTAAAGTAAAACTTCTGTGAAAGACATTTCAAAATTATCAAATAATATAAAAGAATATATTTTTAAAATTACTTAAAAATAAATCCAAGTAAAATTTTAAAAATATTTTTAATTATCTTAAAAGGATAAAATATGTTTAAACTACATCTTTGTCGATAAATAAATAAGTAATTTATGTATTTTCACTAAATGTAATGGTAAAAGTTTTACATTACAAGTTCTAAGTTAAAAAAAAAAAGAAAAAAGTAACATTATAAAAAATTTTTCTAATGGTACGGGTATGAAAAATAAAAACAAATTCATGCATCCATTAAGTTTGGTTTTTACTTATAAAAGAAGCATTCCTATAGTGCCGAATAAAAAATCCCTCCTATTAATTTTATCAGTTATTAGTTGATAATCATTGATCATCATCTTAATTCTTAACTTTTCTTTTGGTGATTTTTTGTATTTATCTAACATCATATTCATTTAACCCTTTTTTTTATAAACATATAACCTTATTTTTCTTGCATATACTTTAAAAAAAATCAAGAATAGGAATTGATCATTTGGCTTAAAAGAGTTTGAATCCTTCTTTTCCAAAAAAAAAAAAAAATTCAAGAGCAAAAACATTTTTTGTTTTTTCCACTTTCCATTATGTCTCCTTCATATATCATTCCATCCCTTTTTACAAAAAGTTACTTAAAAAGTTCATCAGAAAACAAATTTTTACAAAAATACAAAAAAAAAAAAAAGAAGAGAGAGCAAAATCTTAATAGGAAAAAGAAAAGGAAAGGCAACCCAAATTATTTTTGGGGCTTTCTAAGCCCAAATTAATCAAAAATGCCAATCCAAAATTTGTGAAAAAATAGCAAAAAGGAAAAGAAGAAGAAAAAAAAAAAGCATTGGTTGTTTTCTTTATTTGCCATGAAGGATGTATTAGGTGGCACTCTCAATTCCTCACGAAATGTCCATTTTTCTTAGCAATGGCTCGAAAAGAAATCCCTTCTTAATCAAAGACATTTTCCCAAATAACTGATGGCTCAGTTAAAAAATTTTTTAATAAGAAGTCATATAATATTTAATTATTTATAAAAAATTTATACTATATATTTTTTTGGGTTTCACTAACATCATAATGATCCTAAAGGTAAATTTTTGAAAGTCAATAATAAAATACCACATTATAATTTTTTAAAAGATTGAAACCAATATCATGCTTCTATATATGAGAGCGAAACCAAATTAATCCATAACAATCTTTAATCCTTAATTAACTTATTTATTTTTATTAACTTATTTATGCATGAAAGTGAAACCAAACTAATCTATAATAACCTTTCTCCTTAATTAACATATTTAACAAGTAGTAACTAACAATTAATTGAAAAAAAAAAATGAATTAGGGCTTTAATGAGGAAATGAAGAAGCTCTAGGAATTTTCTCCTCTCTTTTCTCATCTTCTCAATTTTCTCGTTAATTTTGATTAAAAATTACCTCTTTTAGATTAGGTTATACGTTTTTAATAAAAAATGGATTGAAAACTTCTCTTTGTTATTTTTTTTTTTTCTCAGTCAACAAAATTTTATTGATCAGAAACAGTCTTTGCACCTGATAGCAATATTTCCAGAAACTACCTATTCACCACAGGAAATCTTATCATATTACAGCCATGCATAAAACAAACTAAGACTGTCTACCCCCTTCCTTGCCAATGAATCAGCCAAGTAATTGGCTTCTTCAAAAATGTGTCCAAACTTAACCTTTTCCTATGATTTTCACTAGCTTATAAGTTTCCACAAATATCAGCCATTGTTTCCATGGTCTGGCATTCCTATTACGCACCCAACTCACTGCTACTTTTGAATCTGATTTCAAAACTAGAACCTTTTCCAGCCAAGGTGAAGAAGAAAACATTTGAAGTGCAGTCTTAATGGCCAAAACTTCTGCAGTATTTGACTCCTGATCACCATGAGGCCATAAAACAAACCTCTAATATTTCCCTCGCAGTCTCCTCGAACACCACCGCACTGATATCTCTTCCATAAATATTTATCATTTTTTGTTAGAAGTTACAGCCATCTATAGCAAACAACAAAAGAGAATGGAATCAAATCTTCATTGGGAATTTTTTGTTGAGATAAGTGATTAACTTTTCATCTTAGGTTTTTATCAACTTTTTTAGATGAAGATTTGAGAAAACGATTTAGGTTGTCCTAATTTTTTAAATTTTTTGAATTAATTATTTTTAAATAAGTTAATTAGTGTTAAGATTTACAATCAATATTTGATTTGATGTTGGTAAGTGTATAATACTTATCAATGATCATTCTAATATAAATTTAAACTCTTAATTTTTTGTTATTTGAATATGTCAAGAATAAAATTATGATCATAAAAATTAGGAGTTTAATGCTATATTAACTACCAAATGACTACACGATTATTAGCACTATTCAACAATATTTAAATAGATTCTATTTTAAAAAAATTATAAATGATAAACCCCTCTAACATTAATCTAACCCAACCTAATCTCTTTTCCCCAAATCTAAAATATAAATGATAAATTTAAATATATCTTATCCCATTATTAGAAAAAAAATGAATAACATTATTTTATAATTGCTAATCTCTATATATAATTGTTTGAGTGTATCCACGTACATAATTGGACAACTATTATAGTATAATAGATTTGATTTTTTTTAGTCATTTTACTTGTATTTTGTTTTATAAAATAGATAAAATTTTATTTTTATTATTTTTATTTTTATTTAAATTTAGTGGAATCAATGTAGAAAAAAAAAACCAAAAATTTCTATGAATATATATAGTTTTTATTTGTTAGTTATTTTTATTTTTACTTAAATTTGTTAGATCAATGTAGAAAAAAACCAAAAAGTTCTATGAATATATATATATATATATATATATATTCATATCTATGCCCCTTACAAAACCAATCGATTCCTCATGGATGCGAACGCTATATGATTTTTTTGGATAAGTGTCATTAAATGAAATTAAGTAATTCAATTTACAAATGTGAAGTTGATGTTCTGGATCCTTGGTAGTAAGGTATAAATTAATTTTAATCTTTTCTCATTCTCCATTAATCAACGATTTAAAAATAAATATTTTAAAAAATTAATATAATCAATTTTATTAGAAATAATAAAATGTGTTTAATTTTTTTGTAATCTTTGTATACCAATTATTAATTATTTGTAGACCTGGTGTACTTATTTTATGATTATTTATTGGTTTATATGTGATCAAATTTACACATAAGTTCTTTGCGGTGAAAGAGGATGAGGATTTTACACCATTATTTCATTTTCTTTCATGGAAATGCTACAGTTAGATATGAGGTTATTCTTTTTTTTTAATTGTTTTTTCTTTTGATACCTTTTGCTATTTTATTTTTATTATTTTTTTATGTTGCTTTGAAAGATTCTGCATTTAATTTATTTAGTTGATGAAATTTGCATGTGTATGAGATATATAAACCTAATTTTTTATTTTGGAATAATTTGTAACCCCGTAAAAGAAAATAATTGCATTTTGCGAACAAAATGATATTTTCAACAATCGATGCTTATTTGGACCGTTTTATAAACTAATACTAATTTTCGAAAGACAACAAATATTAAATAATTTTAAAAAAAAACCTCTATAAAAGAGCAAAAAATGAGAAATTGATAATTAAAAAAAAAAACACATTCTAGACTATTTCCTATTACTTTAATATGATAGAATTTTAAAAAAAATTTATATATTCTTAATTATTGACTTACTGTGATGTATTTCATTTAAAATTCAAATTCTTACTAATACAACTAGTATTGTTTTTGTTTAAAATCTAATTTTTTAAGCATCAAAGAAAATAAATTGAAAAAGCTGTTTACGATCGATATAAAATCTGGTTAAAACAAATGAATCCAACCAATACAACTTTAGAAAGTTCTTGGTAGGCCATAGCTAGCAATCTTTGCCTTCGCTACAATTTATGCCAGAAATCATTTACTAGAAGCTCAAAACTAAGCCAAAACTAATGAGGAAAAATTTGCCAATTTGAATAATAACTTGGAAAAGATATTAATAATAACTTGTAGATGATGGAGAATAGAGAATTGAATATTTGTGTAGAAAATAAAATCAAAAAGATATAAAGCTACAGGCTTCCTTCAAAACAAAACAAATACCAAAAACAGAGTTTCGACAGAGACATAAAACTCTGTTGAAAGTGCAAAATCCATAACTCTTCCTACAACTATTTTAACAGAACAGTCAGCTAAAAGAAATCCCCCATTTAAAAAGATCAAATCACCAAACTTCTTCTGACAACAAAATCAACTTTATCCAAATCTTCACCACATTCAAACAAAAGGCAAATCATAAGAGCTCCCATGATACCTAGGCACATCTTCTGAAGAAGTATAACTCAAGAAAATTGCCCACAATTGAGTAGCGAAAGGTAGTGATGCAACTCTCAATGAAAGAAAACCATGCTTGTCGCCAATATGGATTTATGTATAGAACAATAAAAATTCCCAATAAAACAATTACATATGAAACCAGAAAGCTCACACAAAAAACATATGTGTCCATGAAACTACCTTCTCCTTCATTGTCTGTTGTAGTCGGTACTGTTGGTGGTGACTTAGTTTTAGAGCAGTTATTTTGCAATGGAGGCCCACAGAGAAGAGGGTTTCCATCGTAGCTGCTTTCATCAAAGGTCCCAAACTGAGCTTTTGGGTCTGGAGTACTACCTGACAAGTTGTTGTGTGCCACGCTGAAAACCTCCAGGAAGTTCAACTCAACCAACTGTATAGGGATTCTACCACTCAAGTTGTTGTAAGAAAGGTCCAAACTCTCGATTTGCTTAAGCTTTGAAAATGATGAAGGTATGACTCCGATCAAGTTATTGTGTGATAAGTTTAACGAACGGATTTCACTCAAGTTTCCCAATTCAAGTGGGATTTGCCCAGTTAACCTGTTACAAGATAAATCAATCCCAGACATGTACTCAAGAATGTCACCACTATATGAATAGGACATACTCTTTGTTGTAAACTCTATCCATTCTTCCATGTAGCTATCATGGTACCAACGAGTTTTCGATATTATCATCACAATGTATGTTGATGCATCATTAGGTATACCTATTGCATACCGACCATCAGGTATCAATGACTTCTCCTTTTTCATTGCCAGAGTTAAGTTACCCAAACAAGAAGGTATAGGACCAGAAAACATATTTCCAGAAAGATCTATGATGCTCAATGAATACAACTTGCATAATTGAACTGGAATTTCACCATCTAGTTGATTGTCTTTCAAAAGAAAGACGCTTAAAGTAGAAAATGTGCCAATCCATTTTGGAATATTACCGGTTAAATTATTCCCTCTAAGATCTAATGTCACTAATGAAGAGCTATTAAAAGCAAGTGTCAATGGACCACTTAGTCTGTTTCTCTTCAGGTGGACATGTCTCAAATATGGTGGATTGAAACAAGAAGGAATAGAGCCAGATAAATTGTTTTGAGAAAGCTCCAAAAATTCAAGCTCATACAAGTTGCACAATTCCATTGGAATAGAACCTTCGAAATGATTGTTGGACAAAGCCAATCTCTCCAAATGCGGTACATTCCCTATCCATCTTGGGAGCTTTCCATTAAAACTGTTATTACTGAGATTAATATCCTCTAGTGATGAATGTGAAAAATCAGTAGTAGAGACATCAATATCAGGAATCTCTCCAGCAAAATTATTGCCATCCAAATACAATTTTGACAACTTGCTTGTTTTGAACATCATAGGAACAATCTTTCCACTTAGGTTGTTATTTGATAGCCTAAGAATAAGTAATGAGCTTCTCATGATCAATTCTTCTGGTATTCTTCCAGACAAATGATTATCCGATAGGTCTAAAACTGATAAAAAGCCCATGTCACTTAAACAAGGAGGGATATTACCTTCAATGGCATTCTTGGATAAAAATAAGAATTCCAATTTTGGAAGAGTTGAACATATATTTGTTGGAATTTGACCTTGTAATTTGTTATTAGATATGTCAATTACAGACACATTAGGATTAGGAAGTGGCGGTAACAAGAGAGGACCGGTGAAAGAATTGCCCAATAGGAAGAGATTTTCTAATTTTGTGTTATTTTCTAACAACCAAAATGGGACTATTCCACTGAAATAGTTGTAGGAAAGATCAACATATCTCAAGTCATATTGGTAATAAAGGAACTTAAGAGGTTGTAGGCTAAGTCCTTTATCTGTTGTGCACTTTGACAAACTGATGAAATTTAGTTGGAACCTTGGAATTGAAGTATGAAAGGAATTAGGTTCTATTACCATCTTGTTTTCATCACCGAAGAGAACTTTGAGATTTGGAAGGTTTGCACGTGATAGGAATGGCATTGAAATTTGAAAATGATTTCTTGAAAGGACGATGAATCCAAGTGATGAAAGATTTGCTAAAGGCGTCAAATTTCCAGTAAATTGATTGGAGGAGATATCCAATTGAAGAAGAGATGTCAAGTTACCCAAACAATAAGGAAGTATCCCCTCAAGTGCATTCCTACTGATATCCAAACTTTTAAGGTTCCTTAGATCACACCAACCTGAAAATTTTATAAATTCATGGAAGAAATTTTAATTAAATTTTGATTTCCAAAACAGAATATATATAAAAGATATTAGATGAAAGAAATAGAAAAAAAGGATTATTGGAAATAGATGTATTCCATGAATTATATTGGAGAAATTATAGAGTATTTAATTTACCTTGATTAGGTAAGGAACCAATAAGTCCGCAGTTACGTAAAGACAAAGTTTTAAGAGAAGTGAATGCTCCAATGCTTTGCAAAATGTTGTTGTTGAGATAAGAACCATCTAGAAATATTTCCTCCACATTGCTCCACACATGCAATTCTGAGTAATCATAGCATAGGAGGTATTATTAAATGTTAATCAACTAACATCTACTAAGTTACGTCCTTTTGGAATAAATTAGTGACTTACCTTGATCTTGAGAAACCGTAGTCTTGTTTAAGTAATTCTCTTGTAGATAGAAGGTCTTAACTGATGGGAATGCCTCTACTAATTTTAGTAGTAATGGAATGCTTCCATTAGTGAAAACCCCATTTAGATGAAGAATTTTTAACTTTTTTAAACTCTTATATTCTGTAAATGGAAAAAATAAACAAGTGTAAATTTTTATTTTTGTATATAAGATTATATTTTAGTAGAGAAGAATATTGAAATGTTAACAATTTTTAATATAAACTTTAATGTACGAAACAATCAAGAAGATGAAAATCAAACAAAACTGTAACATGAAAAGGCAAAATTTTTTTAAAGGGAATAAGAATGAGTAGTAGTCTAAAACAGAATGGCAAAAGCAAACAAGCTAATACAAACAAAAAGGGAAATATTTGGTATCCAGCTGCAACACTTCTTAAAGAAAGCAATTATCTAATGCAAATATATCATATTCTAATTAGTAATCAAATTATAATGAATTTCTTCCTTTAAAACATTGGGCATTAATTTTAATGAGAGCATTTCAACTACAATCATTGTAGTACAATTAAGTAATCACAATTCAAAATTGTGTGAGGTCCAACAAATTTTATGTGGAGATCACACTTATAAGTGGTGGATTCTTACTAATTCTTTATTATAATTAGAGAATTATAGTATTGTAGTAAAAATCATATAATAAATAATTAATTTCTTCCTTTAAAAAATTGAGCATTAAATTTTAATATGCTAAATTTGTTGATCATTAAAACATCTACATCATTATAAACCTCACAAATAAAAATAAAAAATTTATTTAAATCATACCTTTACAGGCCACAAATTCATTCAAATCATTATAGCTCATATCCAATACCTCTAAGTTGGTAAAAGCACCCAAGTCTGAAAAAAAAAAGTAATAAATAAACGTCATTAAATCATCTGAAAACATGAAATTTGTTTCTTTTTTAAGTATTTATAATAGAGTCGAAATTTTGGTTGAAAAGTAATAATTAATTAGATTATGACTTAAATCAAGCATTTAGAAATTGGTCAATTTTAACGGTCTCCCAGCATCTATAAATAATTTACATAATTTCATCATTAAAGAAAAAAACAGATGAACTTATTTGTTATATCATTTTGAAACATGAGTAAAGATTTTTGTTAACAAATTCAAAATTTTTGCAAAAAAAGTAATTTTACCTTTCATATCTATTGATCCATTTAACTGATTGAAGCTTACATCCAAAGACTTCAAATTTGAAAGCCCGCTGAGTGATGCAAATATGTTGTCATTAATGAGATTATCACTCAAATCAAATTCTTCTAAATGGGTCAAGTTCAGCTGTCTCCCACTATCTACATAAGGTTTACATAATTTCATCAGTAAAAAAAATATTTACATAATATTTAATTATATATAACAACTTAACTAATTGAGCAAATATAAATGCATCCCTTGTAAGGAATGAAGGCTTTCAATTTTGTTGGAGTATAAATACAACTTCTTCAGATTCATCAAATTATTCAATTCTATGTCCAAGTTCAATTCAAATAATCATTATGTTAGCCTGGTTACTCAAATAATCTTTTACTGAATATTTTTAATGACTTTATAATGAAGTAAACTGCAAAACAAATCTAAAGCTTTAAGTGAAGAGGAAAAATCCCCAAATGTGATATGAGATTTTACCTATTTGATGAGCAAAAGGGTTCTAAAACAGAATTAAAAAAAAAAAAAGGGCTGTAATATCTTTACCTCCAATATCTATTGAGCCTTGCAATTGGTTCTCCCCATATACAGGGACTTTAGACTTGGAAGGCCAGAAAGGAATGCAAAAGTGCCGTTCCTGAAGAGATTATTAGTTAAATCAAGAACCTCCAAATTGGTCATCCTTAGTTGTATCTCCTTTCCTATAGAAGAATATTTCTATTATATGCCATTGTTAATGGAAAATTTTATACATTGATTACATAATTAAAAACTTAGTTGAGTGAATTGAAATAAATATTTATACCTAGCTTTGATGGACGGAAGCTTTTAATTCTATTGTAGCTGAGATCCAAGTTCTTCAAATTTGTTAGATTATTCAATCCTATTCAACGCCAATGAGAAATTAATATTACATATAAAAGCAAATGATATGCAACACCTTTTCATGAAACAACAATTGATTTGAACGTGAAAGAAAGATAAAGCAAGTTTATCATGAATATGAATGGTTCCTTGCAAGTGATTTTCCATCAAACTTAAAGTCCTTAAAGATAAAAGACCATTCATTTGAAACAATATGTTAAGTTTCAAAGAGATGTATCCTAAATCAAGAGTTTCCAAATTATTGAGTCTCGAAAGCCATTGGAAGCCTGTAATGAAAGAAGATTAATATTTTAATTACCATATATCACTTATAATCACTATTAGATTAATTTTAACTCTATCGTTTGCATGACTTGATCCATTAACTCAAATACTTAGGAAACTTCAGAAAACAAAGATGAAAAAAAAAGGAAAAACCACAAAATGGTTTCTCAACTGTTTCTAATTCAGTCATGTATCGATTTTCCCACTTCAATAATAAGTATCACACTTGAGCACTCGGTTTGGTTGTCTTTATCTTACATAGAGTTGGATTCTAATTTCTTATCCCAATCAAAAAATTGAAATGACTGACAGTATAATAGGTGACATCGTAGGTGTAGCTTGATAGGTGTAGCTTGCTTCTTAAGCTAATAGCATTCCTACCAGATGGTATGAACAAGAAATGTTATTTTGCAACCACAAGTTTCATATTAGCAACTGCAACTATCCAAGAGACAAAAGGTACAATTAGCATCTTAACTGGGTTTCATTTCACATTTTGAAAATAATATAATATTTGTTAACTTGATATTAATATAATTATATAATCAAACATAATAATATTAAGAATTATGGTATTATAATTGAGACAATAAGAATTACAATACGATAATTGTAATTAAAATGCCTCCATCAAGGAACATGTGCCGTGTGGAAATCATTGGTAAAGACAGCCTGCGTGAGGGAAAGGCTAGAATTGGTTGCCCAACCAACTATGATCTTGAGGACGCCACAAGGATAGAGTTGGCAACCTCCTGTACTGGACATGTTAAAGCTCATTGTGGATGCAGTGGATAGAGAAAAAGAAGCTGGGCTAGGTGCTGTTCTTAGAGATTTCGAATAGTAACGTGCTGTTTTTAACAGTGACTTGGGTAGACTGGACCCTTCATACAGAGTTAAGAGCGATCCTTTGGGGACTACAATTAGCTTTTGAACAAGGTACAGAGCAGGTGATAGTGGAGAGTGATTCTATGCCAACAATACAAGAAATTGAAAACACACATTGCTCGCTTTGGTCGGGGGTAATTGGCTTGTGGGTGTCGTGGTGTAACTTTTAGCCGTTTTGTCTTCAGTAATATAGTTTGGGTGGTGTTTTGTCAGTTTGGTTTGAACGCATAGATCTATTTGCTTTGATGAATTAGCTTTATGCTGGCTTTGTAACCTTTTAATTAATTAATAAATCCCTTTGACTTAGCAAAAAAAATTTTGGATGAGTTTAAGGCTTCTAAAAAAATTTTAAAAAAAAGCTGTAAAAGCTTTACCTTTAATATCTATTGAGCCTTGCAATTGGTTCGACTCCATACACAAAGACTTTAGACTTGAAAGCCCCCGAAAGAAAGAAAATATGTTGTTCCTGAAACGATTACCGCTCAAATCAAGTTCCTTCAAATTGGTTAACCTTAGTTGTATCTCGTTTCCTGTACAAAAATATATAATTTTATTAGATATTATTATTTATCAAAAAATTTTATACGCTAATCACATAAGTAAGATCTTGGTTGAGTGAATAGAAATATATATTTATACCTTGCTTTGATGGTCGGAAGCTTTCAATTCTATTGTTGCTTAAATCCAAGTTCTTCAAGTTTGTCAAATTATTCAATTCTATTCAACCTCAACGAGTAATTAATTATATTATATATAAAATCAAATAATATGCAAGAGCTTTTCTTGAAACAAAATTTGACTTTAACATAAATAAGAGGTAAAGTGAGTTTACCGTGAATATGAAGGGTTCCTTCCAAGTGATTTTCACTTAAACTTAAAGTCCTTAAAGATGAAAGACCATTCATATGAAACAATATGTTATTTTTCAAGGAATTGTCCCTTAAATCAAGAGTTTCCAAATTACCAAGTCTTGAGAGCCATTGGAAACCTGTAATAAACACAAGTTAATATTTTAATTACTGTATATCATTCATAATCATAAATAGAGTAATTTTAACTCTACCGTTTGCATGAGTTGATCCTGTGAACAAGTTTCTGCTAGATATAAATCCTTGAGAGATGAAAGTTGACTCAAAGATAATAAAATTGTATCATTGAGGTAATTGAAACTTAAGTCAAGGATCTCCAAATTTAGCTTTGCAAAACCTGCAAGAGAGTTCTTTTAAATATATAATAAGGACTTAGTGGCTTTTCATCAGTAAAACAAAAATAGAATTAAATATGAAATTGTAAAAATGAAAAACTGATGAATGAATTTTCATATTGCAAATTAACAATGAAATCATTAAAGATGAAAAGGCAAAAGGGACTTCATTTCAACAAAACCAGCGATGTTATTCCCTGGCAAAGAAAGATGCTTCAGTTCCTTGAAAGGAAGAAACAAAGAGGCATTAAGATACCATCTTTCGTTGTTGGACCATCTTGTATAATCAAGAGAGAGTGCTATGACTCGCTTGGAAGAGGAGGAGGAGGTGTTGCACTCGACCCTATCCCATTGACAGCAATCTGAACCCTTGATCTCATCAACCCAGCTGTTCAGATCGTTGTAAGGATTGAAGAAAGGTTTGAGTTGCAAGAGAGCAATCCTCTCATTCTCCCAACACGCATCAGTACCATACCATCTGCATCCTTCTAACAACAACAACAACACACTCAACCACAACCATTTGGGTTCCATCATCTCTTTTTCTTTATATATGATCTCTATATTTTCAATTCTCTCTCAATTGCTACTTCTAAATATATAACGATAAGCCTTGCATCAAGCTTAATATATATAGACAATCAAGGTGGTCCTCGATTGTTTAGACTCTGTGTTGTAGGAAAGAAAGAAAAGGGAAAGTAAAAAAAATTAGAACTTTTTTTCCCTCGTCCTTTCCTTCTTACCAAAAGGAGTGTTAGTCTCTTTCTTTGTCTTCACTCATTGGTGGTAAATTCTACTATTCTTAGAATTGAAACTTGAATAAACTAGTCACTGAAATCACTCTCTCTCGAAAGTAGCCGACATAATTTAGAAAAAAATTTTGCAATAAGATAATGACTTTTATTTTCCGCAAATTAAAAATTTGTTCATGCTATATATAAATGAGGTTTTGTCTCAATAATAAGAAAGAGAGATTGGAAGCATTAGATTTTATGATCGAATCTCATTGTATATATATTGGATTTAATTTAAATTTTCTATAAATATACTATTTTCTATTATTCAATTGTTTTATTATTATTTTTTTTACCAATGATCAATCTTGATAAAAAATCATTCATTTCACAATCGTTCTCTTAGTTGTTATAGTTGGAGTACTTGTTAAACCCAACTACTTTCTAGGCTATTTGGTCAAAAGACTTGGATCCAGTCCTAAATATGACTTTTTAGGCTTGAGTTCAACTTGAGAATTTTATTATATTAATAAATAATATATTTTAATTAAATTTTAATTTTAAAATATTAATATAAAATATTTTTAACATTTTAATAACAAATTTAATTAAAATAAGTAAATCAATTTGGGAACATTTCACCTATAATTTTTTTATTACAATATTATAATTATTTAATTACATTCAAAAATTATATATGGGTCCACCGTTTATAAGTGTGAGTTTTATATAAATTTTTGATAAATCTCACATAATTTAAAATTATGATTAGTTACTATAGTAAATGTAAATAATACAATTGATTTTTCATTTTTTTTCATTTTGTAATAAATACTTTAGGCCATAATGTGACTTACGTGAAATCGTGGAGTATGGGTTAAAAATTGTTTCCACGTTTTCCATGTGATTTCCTGTTGTATTCTATTTCTTCCTGAAAAGAAGAAACTTTTATTCCGAGTTCCATTTAATTTCTATTTTTTTTAAAGGCATTTCATATTTACTTTTAAATCTATGAGACTATAACATCAGATATTGCATTGTTTGAAATGATCTTCACATTGGCGTCAACCTTAAAATTCACATTGTCTTCATTTCCACGTTATTTAATTGGATTATTTACTTGGATTCTTAAAGTATATATGAATATAAAATATTGTGATTTGTCTACGAGTTTTTCATTTTCTTTTCTAATTTCTTTGTAAATGATTAACAAAATAGCAGTAAACGATCAATAATATGATATTAAATTTCATAATTTTAATACTAAAAATTTACAAAAGCTATTAATAAAGGATAAAAGAAATTTATGCTTTCATATATCAATAGAATGAAGGTTTCGTTTTTTATGGGATATATTTTTTTAAAAAAAATCATTTATAAAAAATAATTTTAAAGTGAATAATATGGTAAATAATAATACTTAAAAATTTGTTTTTTCTTTAATTTTTAATTTTTCAAAATACTTACTTTAATATCAAATTGCACTTTTGGCTTTTATACATAAAAAAATTCCAAAAAGTGAAAAAAAATTAAAATACAAATAGAAAAAACTGAATAAAAAAAATATAACTATTGGTCTTTTAAAAGCAAATGCAATGTCGGTTGTTGGCCAAACCCAAAAGAAAGTTGTTGAGAAATTAACTCCAACTTGCTTGACACTTCAGTCATATCTTCCCCGTTAGTTTGACTTTAGCGTGAATAACATTTTAATTTGTTGAAAGTCTTCTGCTTCGTTTTACACACAATGGCACGTACTTTATCTCATTGCAAAATTTTTGTAAAGTACGTCGGCCACTTTTAAGAAAATGTGATTTTAATAATAAAATAGTTCATTCAAGTTTCAATTCCTAAAATTTACCATCGATGAGAGAAGACAGCGAAAGGCACTAACACTCTTTTAGGTAAAAAGGAAAGGAAACCAAACAGAGTCAAGGCAAGGACTTGACTTGTCAAAGTTTTTTAAGTTTACTTCAGATTGATTGTGTTATTATATTATAAAAAACTTATTTTATAATATATTTAAAAATATTAAAAGATTAGTATAAATATATTTTTAATATTTTAATGATAAATAAAAATGAAATGCCAAGCCCACCAAACCTAAGATTTCTTGATTTCAATCGTGCTCGGCTCCTCTTAGTTCATGGACACCTTTTTTCTTTTTCTCTCAAATTAAATATTTTTAGAGAATTAAGAAAACCAATTATTTTTGCAGCTCCATAATTACTCGCTTCTTGCAAATAGCAGATGTTACTATTTTTAAAATTTATTATAATTTAGGTATTATATTAGAAATGTTCAAAATTTAAGCATCATATTAAATATTTTATTATAATTTATAAATCATTTGTAATATTAATTATTTTTATAATGTACCACCATAAGTAATATTAGATCGAATCAAATCTAAACAAGCATATAAGCTATTAATATTAAAAATTGACCCGACCTAGATCAGCTCATAAACACCTCTATGCTTGAGTTCAAAGTTGAGAATTTTATTATATTAATAATTAATATATTTTAATTAAAATTAAATTTTAAAATATTAATATAAAAATATTTTTAACATTTTAATAACAAATTTAATAATAGGTAAATCAGCTATGGAGTATTTCACCTACAATTTTTTTTATTATAATTTTATAATTATTCAATTACTTAAAGAATTATGTATGGATCTATCACTTATAAATGTGAATTTTATATAAAATTTTTATAAATTTCATATAAATTTAAATTATAACTAGTTACTATAACAATTGTAAATGATACACTTTTTTTTTTATTTTGTAATTAATACTTTAGCTCGTCGTGTGACTTATACATGAAATCGTGGAGTTTGGGTTAAAAAATTCTTTCCGCCCTTTCATTGTGGTTTCTTATTACATTCTATTTCTTCGTGGAAAGAAGAAACTTTTATTGCAAGTTCCATTTTCTTTTTTTTTTTTTTTTGAAAAGCATTTCATATCTATTTTTAAGTCTATAAGACTATAACATCAAATACTGTATTGTTTGACAGGATCTTGACATTGGTGTCAACATTGAAATTCACATTGCCGTGATATCCACGTTATTTAATTGGAATATATACTTGGATTCTTAAAGTATATATGAATATAAAATATTGTGATTTGCCTATGAGTTTTTCATTTTCTTCTTTATTTCTTTGTAAATGATGAATAAGATAGTAACAAACGATTAATAACATAATACCAGAAGCCATAACTGTGATTGTAAAATTTACATAAGCTATTAATAAAGGATAAAAAAATTCTTTCATATATCACTAGAATAAAGCCCTCGCTTTGCATGGGATTTTTTTAAAAAATATATTATAAAAAATAATTTTAAATTGAATAATATGGTAAATAATAATACTTAAAAAATATATTTTTTTTAATTTTTAGTTTTCAAAAAATACTTACTTTAATATCCAATCGCACTTTTGGCTTTTATACACAAAAAAAAAGTCCTAAAAAGTGAAAAAAAGGAAAATGGAAATAGAAAAAACTAAGTACAAAAAGTAAATATAGGTCTCTTAAAAGCAACTGCAACATTGGTTGTTGGCCAGCCCCCATAGAAAGTTATTGAGAAATTAACTCCAACTTGCTTGACACTTCACATTATTTATAGTCATATCTTCACTATTAGTTTTACTTTAGCGTGAATAACGTTTTAATTTGTGGAAAAAAAAAAGTCTTGTGCTTCGTTTTACACGCAAAGGCACTTACTTTGTCTCATTGCAAAATTTTTCTGTAAGTATGTCGGCCACTTTCAAGAAAGTGTGATCTTAGTGTGATCCTAGTAATAAATTAGTTTATTCAAGTTTCAATTCCCGAAATTTACCTTCGATGAGAGAAGACAACGAAAGACATTAACACTCCTTTTTGGTAAAAAGGAAAGGAAACCAAACAGAGTCTACGCAAGGACCTTGACTTGTCAAAGTCTTTTAAGTCTAGTTCAGATTGATTGTGTTATTATATTATAAAATAATTTACTTTTTAATTTTATTTTAGAATATATTTAAAAACATTAAAAGATTAGTATAAATATATTTTTAATATTTTAATTATAAATAAAAATGAAATGCAGAGCCCACCAAACCTAAGATTTCTATATGTCAACCACGGTCGGCTCCTCTTAGTTCATGGACACCTTTTTTTTTTTTTTCAAATAATATATTTTTAGAGAATTAAGAAAGCCAATTATTTTTGCAGCTCCACAATTACTCCTTGCAAATAACACGATTAGGATGTTATTATTTTTAAAATTTATTATATTTTAGGTGCTATATTAGAAATGTTCCAAATTCAAGCAGCATATTAAATATTTTTTTGTAATTTAAAGACCATTCATAATATTAATCATCGTTATAATTTGTCACCATAAATTGAACGTTGGCTATATAAAATAATGTAAATGTTTCTATGATAGCTTGTTATTAGACTCATATATATGTCGGACCATTTGTTAGTTTCAACTCAATCAAGTCTTGAACAAAATATTTAAAAGTTTTTATTAAGGTTAATTGCTTATTTTGTTCTCGTTAAACAATATTGTTAATTTAATTTAAAATATATTTTAAAATATTTAAATTATTAATATAAAAATCTTTTTAATATTTTAATAATAAATAAAAAATGAAATGGAAGATTTGACCAAACATAAAATTTTAAGGTGCTAACCATGTTCTATTTTTTTAGATGTGTAGACACCGGATTTTTTTCGGGTCTTTTATAATTAATAATAATAATAATAATATATTTTAAAAAATATTAATTAAAAAAAAAAGAGAAA